GAAACTTCTTAGCTTTGGTTTAGTCCAGTTGTGCTGACTTCCCCTGCAGTGTGTGCTGTCCTTCCCTTCACCTAAGATAATTCTTGTCTACTATCTAGTTGACTGTGGTAATTATTTAATATCACTGAGCCTCAGTTACTTCATTTGAAAAATGAGAATAATAATAGTACCTACCACATAGAACTGTTGTGGAAATTAAATGGGATAATGAATGTAAAGTGTTTGGTACAAGATACATGGTCAAAATAATGGTTTCTATTAATATGATTATCATTATTGTCCCTTCTTAAAAACTCTTCAATGGTTCTCCCAAATTAAAAAAAAAAAAAAAAACTTTAACCCATTGTCATCAAGTCTCTTTGACTCATGGGAACTCATATGTATTAAAGTAGAACTGCACTCTATAGGGTTTTCAATGGCTGTGATCTTAAGGAAGTAGACTGATGGGCCTTTCTTCTGTGGCTCGACTGGGTAGGCTCGAACCTCTAACCTTTTGGTTAGTAGCCAAGCACAACCATTTGCACCACCCAGGGACCTTCTCCAACACTACATTAGTTAAATTAAAAACTCATCATGGTTTGATTTCTGCCTTTCTCTCTTCCCTCTCTTGCCATGTACCTTTTCCAACTCTATACTTCTGCCCCAGCCATACTGAATTAATTGCAACTCCACAAGTGGGGCAAGTATTCTTGAAAATGGTACGTTTATGAGGACAGACTTGGGTCCTGAAATGGGAGGGTGTATAAGCGTTTGAGTCCTGGGGGGACGGGTTGGAGGCACCGATGAGGTAAAGGCATGAAGTAGTTAGGATGACCCCATAGGTTTGAAGAACTTTTCTCCATAATGTTCCACAGTCATATGAAAGTTTATTCACGAAGTTCCCAAAGGATTTTCTGGAAGGCAGGTGGAGTGGATAATTTTCTAAAAGTGCATTATGCTGCTTATATAGGTAAGAGTCCTTGATTACCCAGTAGAGACGTGTGTGAGGTATCTAAAGTCTATTGGTTTAAACAGTTCCGAGAAGAGAGCTACTCCTCTCCTCAATTATAGAATTAGCTGAAAATCATCTCTCAGCACTAGAAATTACCTTGTTTTGTTTTCTTCGTAGCAACCATTACTACCTAAAATTATCTTATTGCATATTGTTCATTACAGTATAAGCAGGGCAAACTATTCCCGAAGCCAACTCTTCAAAGATTAGACTGGACTATAGGACATAAAATGATACTCGTGAGACTAAATGGGCAGCTCCTGTCCAGAGGCAAGATAAGAAGGCAAAAAGGGACAGGAGCTGGTTGAATGGACACAGGAAATCCAGGGTGGAAAGGACGAGTGTGCTGTCACATTATAGGGAGAGCAGCGAGGGTCACATAGCAATGCGTGCGAAACTGACTTGAACTTTAAACTTTCAGTTAAAGCACAGTAAAAGCCTAATGACTACTAGTTAGAATTACATTGACTCTGAGTTCCTGAAAACCTGATTGATCAGTGGCTAAAACAAATTGATTTTTCTTACATATCAAGAAGTCTGGAGTTGGGCAGTTGAGGGCTATTATGGTGGCTTCATGATACCATGAGAGACCCTGGCCCTTTCTATCTTCCTGCTTAGGTACTTCTCACATGTGGTTTTTGTCCTGTTTGTCACTTGTGTTACAACAATGGTTGATCCACATCCTTGACTCCTCCTGAATATATCCTTATTCCAGGCAGGAACAAGAGGAAGGGAAAAACATCTGCCAGCTGAGTTGATCCCCTTTTAAAGAGTTTTTCCAGCTATCTCACCCAGCAATTCTACTACATCTTATTGGTCAGAACTGTGTCACATGGCCACTCCTAGCTGCAAAGGAGTCTAGCAAAAATAGTTTTTTAACTGGGCACTTTAATGCCTCCAAACCAGAACAATTTTTATTAGTAAAAAAGAAAGATAAAATGACACTAGGGTGTCTGCCATAAAAGGAATGGTAAAATTGGGGGATAACTTAATAGAGATAAGGAACATTTAAGGAAAAGCAGGTTTGTAGAGGAAGGTGTTTGGTTTGGATATATAAATTTGTAGACACCATCAGGAAATCCAGGTGAAAATGTCACAGAAAGGAGTAGAAAATGAATGAACCAAACATGGTATAGTTCATTAACACCTTTGTAATGTGTTCCAGTATTGTTGATTGAAAGGCAATGATGACTGTAAGGCTAAGCACTAAAACATCCAGCTTTTGCCAACAAAAAGGCTTGTCCCAGTGTTCAGTAAACCCATTGCCGTTGAGTTGATTCCAACTCACAGTGACCCTACAGGACAGAGTAGAACTGCCCCATAGAGTTTCCAAGGCTATAATCTTTATGAAAGCAGACTGCTACATCTTTCTTTCGCTGAGCACAGCTGGTGGGTTTGAACTTCCGACCTTTCGGTCAGCAACCAAGTGCTTAACCACTTCGCCACCAGGGCTCAGGAAATAGTTAAAAGTAAAAAGAGTATTCGGCCTATGCCTACCATTCTGCTCCTATGCTGAAGTTCCAAGCAGGTGGCTACTGTTCTCAGTATAAGCTATTACAATTTATAAATTCTACTGAGCCTGACAAAGTACTTTCTTTACCTAACAGTAATTACCACATATTAATTATAACTAAGACTGCATGTTATCATGCAAAGAGCATAGGATTCTTGATCTGGAAAGCCTTGGCTTTGCCATTTATGAGCAGAATAACTTTGGGCAATACACTTTTGAAAGGCCCATTTTTTTCATTTGGGAAGCAAGAATAATGTGCTACTTGCCTTATACGGTTTTAATTAGGATCAAATAGATAATGTTTGGAAAGTGCTATATATAGTGTATAATGTTATACAAAGAAAAGATATTATTCTTGTAACAGTATATAGAGTATGGGTAACTGAGCATTCTAGATGGCTACTGAGTTTCTGTAAGACTTAAAGGGAATTTACTACTTAGTTCATTAAATAAATTCTGTCAAGTGAATTTATGCTGAGCAGGGATATTTGTAATGATAAAAGTGTGTATTGTGTGTGTGTTGAGAATTTGATGATATACCAGCATATTCACCAAGCTGTGCTCATGCCAAAAAACCCTGAGTTTATCTTGACTTTTCAGAAGCCTAGACAACTCCATTATATTTCACTAGGGTGGTCAAAGTAAGGAGCCCTGGTAGCCCAGTGGTTAAGCATTCTGCTGCTAACCGTAAGGTCTGTGGTTCAAACCCACCAGCTGCTCCAGGGGAGAAAGATGTGGCAGTCTGCTCCTGTAAAGATTACAGTCTTGGAAACCATATGGGCCAGTTCTACTCTGTCCTATAGGGTTGCTATGAGTTGGAATCAACTTGACAGCAAGGAGTTGTTTTTATTTTTTAGGGTGGTCAGGTCATGTAAGAAAATGACACTTGAAGAGAATCAAATCTGTAGGAAGATTTAGAGAGAACTGAAATGCAATGCCTGGCCTATTACAGTCCTCTTTTCTAAAATTCTAGAGTGGAGACCATAGATATGCTTCACTTGTTTGTCACTGTCAATTGACTAAAGCTATAAATAGGTCCAAAGCTCATCTCTCTCCTTTTAGCAGAGAAGGGTCAGATTTCAGGGGGCAAAGCAAAATAACAAAAATGAATGTCAGGGTATTTTACAGTGTCAGTCAGACATCTGCATCATCTCCTCTCCTAGAACCAAGGAACCCAGCAACAATGCCTCTGTTCAAACTTACAGGTAGGTGTGCAGAGTGTTTGGCAAGCTCAGTTGTTTTCAGATGTAACCACTTCTTTAGCTATCATATCAGCTGTGATGATCCTTATTTAGGGTTCATAATAGCTTTAATCATTCATTTCAGAGGCAGGACATGTTCAAGATTTTTTGTTTTGTTTTTAGTTTTAGGAGGGGATAATTTTCTAAAATTGTGTCATCATCTTTGATGATCTCAGTAAAAAGTGGTGTGAAATATTTAGTATATCTGCTCTACTAGTCTAAACACGACTTGTGCTGCCACAATTCTGAGAATGGTCCTATACAATGTCTCTAGCTATAGTATTAGCTGAAAATCATGAATATGATGGAAATACTAACCCAAATTGTGCATTCCGATGGTTCCCAACCCAGGCTTGTACAGAATAATAAAAAAAAGTAGTTATAAGTGTTTTTCAGTATAAAATCAATACATGTTTCACATGAAATAAAAAGGGAGAAATTGCACTGAAAAATAACAGTAATAAACACTCATTTAGAAAATGTGTAGAATTTAGGAAAGTAGTAGTAACCATAAAACCACCATAGCCCCATCATCCAAGAACACCCATTCATAATATTTAGTGTTTTTCTTTTGAATCTATTCTCTATGTAAAATTAAAGAGTTTTTAAACATAATTGTGATTATATTGTACAGGTAATTTTATATCCTGCCTTTTTTTTTGCTTAACGTTATAACTTAATCATTTTACCATGATATTACAAATTCTTCCTAAACATCATCTAAAATGGCGATAAAATATTCTAATTTTCTTAACTAATCCTCTAGGTTGTTCACATGTTTTTGTAAGTGTAAATACTCTTGGACAGTAATCTTTGCACCTAAAGCTTTTTCCATATTTAAGGATTATTTCCGTAGGCTAGATTCTTAGAAATGACTGTTGGTAGGTGTTATTACATTGTTTTCCAAATCAGCTATTTCAGTTTACCTGCTACTAGCATCGTGTGAACGTTCCCATTCCTCTTCATCAGATTTTTTTTTCAGTCACATTTTACAAAGAGTACCTTTTTAAGATTATAAACATAAATTTGAAGAGATATATTAAAAAGGAAAAGAAAATGAAGAGATGTACAATGAGCATATTCCCAGGGTTTTTTGATGGTTGCAAATTATAAACTAGAAGAATGAAGCTATTATAATGCATTCCACTACATCTCTTTCTTGTACCAGTCCACATTTTCATTCCAAAGCATTGACTAATAGCCACTATGATTTCTGAAAGTTGTTCATTTATTTTATTTTACTTCATACAGCTGAAGAAAAACGTGAGTAACTTGAATTATTTTTCCTGCCTTTTGCCAAACTATCAATTAAATAACTGATACTGTTCCTTAATTTAGAAACATGGTTATTTTTCAGCAGTGATACCACTGAAAGTTTTCAAGGATTAATAATGACCATAGACATCCCATGGTATAGCAAATGAACTCACGGTATTTCTGGACCCCAAAAGAATCCAGTTTCTAAAGAGAACCTTGTGGGACATTTATTTGATACACTAAAATAAAACAATCTTCTCCGTCGACATAAATTAGTCAAAGGGGCCTACCGAGTCTTGCCTTAGTTAACTCTCAATTTCAGGGCAAAAAATTTTCTTGTTAATTTTTGTGACCAGATAAAATGGAAACCCATTTTAGAAATAAAACTGTAACTTTAGTTGCATGTTCCTCTTTATCTCAAATTAGACTTGTCCTTTAGCTGACTGATGTAGGTCTGCCTTTGAGTTCCTTTGGCTGTGAGATGGAATGTGGTATATTACAAGCCTATGACCTTGTTTTTCCTATACATTAATAAAGCACTGCTGAGAAATAAGCGTGTTTTTCTGGAACTGTTGGCTGAAGAAGCAAGCATGATATTCCTTTTCTCAAAAGTCTTGCACTTCCTATGTTAATAATAATAAGCCCCAACTTTTGGATAGTACTGTATAGTTTTTAAAGTATTTCTTATTTAATCTTTATAACAACTGTCTCAAATTGGAATTATTAACATTCTCCTCTTATGATGATGGAAACTGAGCTTCCTACTCATTATGTGGTTTGCCTAAGGCCTCCCAGCACACACGGACACTTTTTCTGACTCCTACCGCAGTGTTTTTTTCACTTCACCACTCTACTTCTTGTTCCTATTCTCTTGTCAGTTCTCTATCCAAAGGTAGATGTCCTATCCTCAAGACATTTCCACTTGGATGCTCCATTATCTCAAATGTAACATGCTCAGAAAAGAACTCAGCATCATCTATACAAACCTCAGGGGGTCTTCTCTTTCTCCATGAATTCAGATTGTCACCAAATCTTATCTGCTCATCTTTTGAAATACCAAGCTCACTCTTTCCATTACCAGTACCACACCCTGAATTATTTTTGACAGGCAGAGCTCTTGAATTAGGAGTCAAATTTCAGCTGTGGCTGCATGAAGTTAAAACAACTGGTTGATTCAGTGAAAGGAAATATCAACCATATAATTTTTGGTCATCATGTAAACTACTTCTTGAGAGTAGAGTTTCTGCTCTTCGACTGTTTATAGTGGTTTAGGTAGTTACAACCTTAGTAAAAGCAATAATGTTTAAAAATACTAAAGAAGTGGATATGGGCAGTCCCAGATAATGAATACTTGTTCTGGAAGAGCCAGATTTCAAGCAAGTAGGATTTAGTTTCTGGGTGTCCATTTCCACACCATCCTTTCAGAGACCTTCAGCAGCATTGCCACAGACCCAGCATAACAAGCCAGCTGCATCATCATCCTCATCCTCATCATCACAACCAACTAGCCCGTTTCCATCTGCCTTTCATGGTGCCTGAAGCCTCTTCTAACTCTTGCTTGCCACTCACCCTCGAGGTGCATGTGCTTGCTTGTGATGCTCAGAGAGGAATGATACTATTTCTAGGGATCCTATGGCCTTGGGGTGGAGGGAGGAATTTTTTTTTTTTTTTTACTGTGCTTTAAGTAAAAGTTTACAGTTCAAGTTAGTTTCTTATACAAAAATTTCTACACACATTGCCATGTGACCCTTATTGCTCTCCCTATGCTGTGACAGCACACTCCTCCTTCCCACCCCGTACCTCCCTTGTCCATTCAACCAGCTCCTGTCCCTTTCTGCCTTCTTGTCTTGCCTCCAGACAGGAGCTGCCCATTTAGACTCATGTATCTACTTGAGCTAAGAAGCATACTCTTCACTAGTATCATTTTATGTCTTATAGTCCAGTCTAATCTTTGTGTGAACAGTTGGCTTCGGGAATGGTTGTAGTTTTAGGCTAACAGAGAGTCTGGGGACCATGTCTTCTGGGGTCCCTCCAGTCTCAGACCATTAAGTCTGATCTTTTTACTAGAATTTGAGTTCTGCACCCCACTCTTCTCAAGCTCCATCAGAGTCTCTCTTGTATTCCCTGTAAAGGCGGTCATTGGTAGTAGCCAGACACCATCTAGTTCTTCTGGTCTCAGACTGATGGAGTCTCTGGTTTATGTGTCCGTTTCTGTCTCTTGGGCTTTGGTGTTCTTC